CTTTTCAGGACCCCACCTTGATGTTTCGGGACCCCACTTTGGGTCCCGACCCCAACTTTGGGAAACACTGACTTAGACGACAAGCTAAACAAAGGTTTGGTTTCTCCTTCGTGCTGGGAATCAAAGCAGAAACAGCAACAGTTTTTTTTAATGCTTTCAGTGTCGAGAACTAAAAACGTTTGTTCGTGCTCCATCTCTACAGCCGTAAATTCTGTCTGACACAAACACACACGCAGACACACCAAACTGCATCCTAAATAAATCCAATCTGAACTATATATATCTGATCCACATGCAAGATCTGCGACTGACTGCTGTTGATCTGAGCAGCAGATGAGAGAAAACAAAAAGCTGCTTCCTGGCCAAAGAAAAACAGCTCCACATGCGAGAGGCGTCACATGAAGTGGCTCTTTTTATTCAGTTTTTAATGACGACACAAGCTTTGATCCTAACATCTTTTCTAAAATGCTTTAGCAAAAGCAAACTTTTTTAGTGACTTTTAACTGCATCCATCAGAGCTGACCTGGTTCGACCCCGATCGAAGGTCAGCGTTGACCGCCTCAGCCTCTTTCTGTTCCACGTTTGTCACGTTCAACTTGAAACTGGAGGTTAAACGTCTCACCTGAGGGCAGCTGAAGGTCAGTTACATACCTGAGTGAGTAAATGAAAGGAAAACGAGACAAAAATGACTTCAAGTAAAACGTCTCTAACACAAGTTGGTATCAATCAGTAAAGTTTTTTTTCTCTCATCATCTCTTTGTGAGAAAGTTCAATGAGTCTATCTTAGGCTGAAATAAAAGCAGCCACTTCCTGTTTCCACTGCTAAAAAAAAAAAAAACCCAGCAGGGTTTTTAAGAGTGTGCATTTGTAGCACTGTCACATTGAAGTTTTAAATAAAAGATTTATTGTAAAAATATACATATGTGAAGAGCTTTTGGTCACTTCAAACTGGTGTTAAACAAACCTGACCGTGACAAATCATTGCTTCCTTAAAAATGTGCAGTAATGCAGCCGTTGTAAAGGTTGTATACATTTACCCTGAGGACAAAAACAGGGGCCATTTTTAACATTAAAATCCCTCCTCAATTTATTATTCAATCAAATTAAAGATTTTTTAGATTTAAATACTCTGATTTAAAATTTTTATGCATCAACATCTCTTTTGTGGTGACCGTTCTCAACTGAAAGCTGCTCTCTGCAGCAGCTGAAAACACATTTCTGCAAAAAGAAAAAAAAAATCCACCAAGAAGTGCAGGAAAAGTCTGGATTCTTCACATATTTTCCTAAATGTCTCCTGTTTTCAAAACCACAGAAATGATTCAGGTTTGTGCGTTCGGGAAAACAACAAAGAGTTGTTTTTTTCTGAGGCGAGTCAAATTAGCTGAAAACAGTAAATTACTTTTAATGAATTTTACATGTTATCAGGTTAAACTGCTACTCGCTGGTTGGACTGAGAAGAACTGGACCAAGACGACAACGACATGCCTCGGAAAGAGGTCTGGGAAAAATTTAATGTTCTAAAGATTTGGCCTTCTTAAGTTGACCCTTAATGTTGTCCTCTTGAAGTTTTGCTCCTGATGCCGTAAAAAGCGTTTCAGTCTGCTAACATTATTATTTTTTATAGAGTCATTCTCATATCACAGCAGGAAAACTGTTCTGTGGATATTTATTGTTTTAATGTGGCAGTTAGTCTCATTTTCCTCCCTCCATTCCTTCCTCAACAGGCCAGGTTCTTCTCGCCGTGTCCATGGCCACAGATGACGAGCCCAGATTCACACCTCACAACAAGCTGTTTCCTGATTACATCTGAAGCAAGGAGCTTTTTAATGGTGWGGATAACAGGAAGTAGATTGGTGCTGTGGACTGCGCTGGTCTTAAAACAAACTCAGTCAGGTGGTGTGGCCATGTGGGGCAGACGAGTACTGCAAGAAGTGAACCAGATTAATGTCCTGATGCATATCTCAGTAATCCAGGTAAAAAAATCAAAAAGAAAAAAATTGTATAGGGTCTTCTGGACGGGTTCTTCTCTAATGAAACGTTTCRTCTCTCCTCCAAGAGACTTCTTCAGTCTGAGAGTTTCAGGCAAAATTCAGGCTTTTAAGCACTGCCTCCATGTGACTGGTACTCACATCACATGGCTATCGTTGACACCTAATTAACACTTATTGTTAACAAGGGGTGGAGTGATACTGGCAATAGCCGCGCTGTAGGAGGKGGACAACTGAAAACGGAGGCCTCCACCTCTGTTTAATGATGGACGGTCTTTCTTCACAAAAATGGCTTCTTTTACTCCTCTCTCAAACCAACGTTCCTCTCTATCAAGAATGAGAACATCCTCTTCTCTGAAAGAGTGACCACTGGCCTGTAAATGAGTGAAAACTGCAGAGTTCGGGCCATTAGATGTAGCTCGTCTGTGTTGGGACATTCTTTTGAACAGTGGCTGCTTTGCCCTGGAGCAGTGKGGTTATCCTGACTGGGCTTTCCTGAAAGCAGACAGGAAACACAGACAGGATTCCATGCAACCTTCAGGTGAAAATGAAGACCCCAAACCCAGACCCAAACCAGTGGTTATTCCGTATGTTGCGGGTGTTTCTGAGAAACTGAGACGTTTATTTTCTAAACATGATGTCCCAGTGGCTTTCAAACCCCAAAACACATTACGGCAAAGGCTGGTTCACCCCAAAGATCCGGTGCCCCGGCACAAACAGAGCAATGTTGTATATGCTGTTAAGTGCCAGGAGGACTGCGACCAGTTATACATCGGGGAAACAAAGCAATCACTGTTCAAAAGAATGTCCCAACACAGACGAGCTACATCTAATGGCCAGAACTCTGCAGTTTTCACTCATTTACAGGCCAGTGGTCACTCTTTCAGAGATGAGGATGTTCTCATTCTTGATAGAGAGGAACGTTGGTTTGAGAGGAGTAAAAGAAGTCATTTTTGTGAAGAAAGACCGTCCATCATTAAACATAGGTGGAGGCCTCCGTTTTCAGTTGTCCTCCCCTACAGCGTGGCTATTGCCAGTATCACTCCACCCCCTGTTAACAATAGGTGTTAATTAGGTGTCAACGATAGCCATGAGATGTGAGTATCAGTCACATGGAGGCAGGGCTTAAAAGCCTGAATTTTGCCTGAAACTCTCAGACTGAAGAAGTCTCTTGGAGGAGAGACGAAACGTTTCATTAGAGAAGAACCCGTCCAGAAGACCTATACAATTTTTTTCTTTTTGAACCAGATTAACTGTCTCACTGGTTGGCTCCCTCCAACGCTGCTTTTACAGTTTAAAATAAATGTTTYTATGCTGTAAAAATATTATTTTTTGACAATCATTTATAGTCTAGGTTTAGTCTTATTTTGCCTGGAACAGTTCAGTTTGAAGGCTGAGGCCATTCTGTTAGTTTGTTACAAATATGGGATGGATAATACAAATAGTGAAACATGTTGATTCAGTTTTGCTAGTAGCCTGTTCCGATAATCCAAATTCCAGCCTTAAAGTGCCTGCGACATCAAATTTTTGTAATAAACGTGAATGCATTTTTGAAAAGATAACATTGAGAACATATTGCAAAACAAATTTCACGTCGCTGAGATGAACAGTTGTTGAGATATTTGCATGTGAAGAAACAGGAAGTGATGTCAAAGGGGAATGTCTGCATGTAAACAGTGTGATGTTACAAAAGCTAACAAAACAGACTGTAGAGAAGAATCTGATGTTTCTTTCGATTATTTTTAGTTGCTATCAGAGACAAGGAAGAGTTAAAGTTTAAATAATTTTGTTTTTATAAACAAGAGACCATCAAGTTTATTTTGTTGAGTTCCCCTTTGATGTCACTTCCTGTTTCACTTTGGCTGAGCCAAATTTAAAAGAAAATTGGCCAGTTATGTGACAAAATGGGTACAATCATGTGTACTATGCCAATTTTCTTAAGAATAAAGATGCTTTCTTTGACTTTTTGTATTTGAAGGATAGGCATATCACAAGCACTTTAAAGGACATTTCTTTTAAATCCATCTTCTTTTAAACCTAAATAATAATTAGAAATGAAAATTAAAAACTAGCCTGCCTCTGTTGTGGTTTTTGTAAATTTAGTAAACACTATATACAATATTTTCATTGTTTACATAATTGATGTATTTTCTTTTGTCTTGAATTGTAAAAAATAATAAACGTTAAAATTCTCTGTATATTTTGTTTTACAACATCACCCCCACTGGTCAGAAAGGCCCCCATTCAACAAACTCAAAGTGGCCCACAGACCACCAATTGATAATCACAGTAGAAGCACGTTTTGCGGCTCTGGACACATTTATTAGTGAGTCAAAATGGCTCTTTTGATGGTAATTAAGATGGCTGCTACAACTTAAAAAAATAGGAAAAGAATGGCTATAACTCCGTCAGTACAGATATTGATTTAAAATATGTTGTGGTAGCAGTGTCCTAAATTGTGCAAGGTTTTAATTAAAAGTTTGCCATTATCTTTTCAGTCAACTTTGTCTGTTTGCAAAATATTTTTCAGTTCAGATATTGCGGTTGTAGCATTCTTAGTATGACTGAAGTGACGAGCCAGTGGCTGGTCTGAGTGTGGTCGAAATTAAAGTGGATGGCAGCCATTTTAAAAATAATAATAATACAAAACTWTCTCAAAATATTAATAGAGTTTTACACCAATGCGTTGATTAAAAAAGGTTCCTTTTTTCAGCAACTTAGACACCAATGTAATCTCATCTCTTGAAATCATTTAAACAACTTTATTCAGTTTTTACAAATAATGTAACAAATTTCATTGTGTTGTAGCGCAAAGACTTTATTTTTTTTAACTTGAAGCTTGAACACTCTTTACTTAGTGCACAACATCCCGTTAAAGGCAGCCGATGCTTCACGTGTAATTTTGTTTTCTTTCATTCACTCCACTTTTGTAAAATGTTCAATATATTACAGAAAACTAAATTAAATGTTTTTTTAGAGACTTTAAAACGGCAAAATAAACAAATGAGACTTAAAAACTGACGATAAAACACTCAGGGACCAGAAAGAAAAACCTGCCCACAAATCTGGTTCAGTTAAATCTAAATGTGGGTAATTTTACAGTAAAAAAAAACAAAAAAAAAACACAAAAAATAATTGAGTCTCGAAATTATAAAACAGCAGAAGAGGAGTTCTGCTACTCTCAGCAGGCGATGGCAAAATAAAAGTGTCTCCAGTCTTTTCAAAGTAAGAGTCCTCTAAACTCTGAAACTTTACAAAAACTGCACCCAGAGATATTTTCTAGACCGGGATCAAACATTTAATCCAGCTGTAATATGTCAGAGTAATAGTCATATCAGGTAAATCTACTTTTTTAAACACTTTTAATTGACAAAAAGACAAATGGCACTGTGTTGTGGCATTATTAGGGAATTGGAGAAATTCAAAATTAAAATCAAAAAGTGGCTCAGTGATTTGTCACAGCTTCTGCCAAACCTGCTTTGTAATAAAAAAAAGCAACTGAGTATTATATGGAGGTTTAATTAATTAACAAAAAACATGAAACTACAACACTGAGGTAAAGTTTAAAGTGTTAAAGCAAAGTAACTAAATAACCCACATGAACAATTTATTCCTCTCCCATCACCTGTTAAATAGTTTCTGTGAATAAAATTTACATTTTATTGCTCCAAAAAAACCTAGGATTTAAAAAAATGAATGTACAAGTCATGCAGTTGTAATTTTTTATGATCTTTGATAATAACTATTGAAAACTTTACTTTAACCAAACTTTGAGACATTTTAGAGTTTTATAAGTTTACTGAATTAATGTTTGGAATCAGGGAAGAAATTAAAGCCCGCACTTTCTGGAAATCTACGTAAACATCTCGTTTTATTGTAAGAAAATCCCAAGTGTTGCTGTTTGAATTGACACAAAAAGGATTGAAAAGAGAATTTCGGGAACCGTACGACGCACCTACAGGTTTGTGCCTCTTAAGTACAGAGTGCTCCAAGCTTCAAATACAATCTTCAAAAACGCCCCTCTGTTAAAACTAAAAACACACAGCCACAGAAACACTGATGATCATAAAAACAAAGTAGTCTTCTTGGTTTGAACAGCAGCAGAGCGAGAGTGGATTTTTTTTTTTTTTTTTTTTGCAGAACACAACCAATCCACCAACCAGGTCCAACCACCACCACCGACTTCAAATCCACAACCAGTCTACAGCAGAATAAAAAGAAATAAATCCACGCACATTCTGCAAACTTCAACCCAAACCCGGCCCCCAAAAACAAACAAAAAAAAAAGCAACAGGAAGGATGCAAGGCACTAGAAACACCTCTGTGTTTTTTCTTTGTTTCTTTCCACCAGAGGCTCTAAAGAGGAGAAGCAAAGACGGTGAAAAGAATAAAACCTTTGTTCAAGTCAAGTACATTAAAATGGACACCATTGGTTTCTACATTCACATTCATCCAACAAAACCAGGGGCTGTTTAAAGTGTCTGATATACAAGTATTGTATTAAAAAAAATAGCTAGCTTTATTTTATTATCTAGATTATCCTGCAGGTTTGTCTTTAAATGCAGGGATGAGGTCCGACTTTCAGTTCAAGCTAAGATTTATCAGTAAGGCTTTGTGTCTGGATATGAATCAGAGGGCGCTTATTGACCGGGGGRGGAMAAACAAACAAAAAAAAGTTAGTTTTCACATTAAAACATCYATCGAACTGAAAGTAAAAGGACCCCAAACTGAAGTATTTGAGACCCTAAAACTAATGTTGTCCAACAACATGTCGCTAATAATAAACGAGAATAATCACAGTGTCTCCACATCGTACAGCGATGTGCACAAAGAACAGGTCCGCTGACAGAACACGACGCTTTGCTTTTTAAATAGAATAATAGTCATTAACATTATTAATGTACATTGCAACCGTTTCAACCCAAACTAGTAACGACAGTAAGAAACAAGGCAGAGTTTGAGTTCAGACCGTGTGAGTGTATTTACACGTGTGTGTGTGTGTGCGTGTGTGTGCTTTTGTATGGACGTCTCATGCAGTGTGTTTTTGTGAGGCCAGCAAACCCAACAAAACCAAAATCAACAAAATACAATGGAATCATCATCGCTGACATTTGAGAAAATAAACAAACTGTACAAGGACTCTGATATTCTAATAACAAGGCCACTTTTTCTTTTTTCCCCCTCTCCACAGAGTTCTCTCATGTTTGGGCTTCACTTCCTGCTGTTATTGCTTCAAATGGTAACAGAAGAGAGAAGGCAGGAGAAAGAAGGAGACGGAGCAGAGACGAGCTGGGCTCCACGTGTTCTGGACATGCATTCGTTTGAGACCATCTTTTGTGCTTTTAAATCATTTAAACGTTTTTTTTTTTCTGTTCATGCTTGATGTCAAAACCTTTAACAACATTTTGGTAATTATTAAAAAAACTCAATGAAGTCATATTAAAAAAAAAACAACACTTTTGTCAATTCTGAGCAACTAGCAGAGGCAACAGTTAGCGTTTAGCAGAGAACGTAGAGCTTGATCCGGAACAAGTGCAACCCAGCTGTGAAAGCCTAAACACACAAACGGCTGCAGACASCAGCCCTGCTCTCTGCCAGAACCTCTTTGGCCTTTAAACGCTGCATGAGACTTTAGTCTTTGATCATTTGTTGGCTGCGACAAACCCAAAGTGCAGTGGAAGTGGAGATGACCGGATTTTATTCATTCTTCCATTGTTTGTATTTTTTTCTGTCCAACGTTCTCTCCTCCAGCTTCTGAGCCCACCCCCCCACACACATCTGTCCGACTGGGCCGTCACTTAAAGTGGCCCTCAGGCCAAACCCTACGTGGTCCTCAGGTTGGGCCCCCCCGGCGTGCTCACAGACTTCTGCAGAGCGCTGGGGTGGTGGAAAGCCTGCAGAGGGCCCTGGCCCTGCTGGGTGGGGTACGGGCCCAGAGGCTGAGACGTGCTGACCAGCAGAGGCTGAGCCGGAGCCTGAGGAGGGTTGGCCACGCTGTGAGCCGGGCCGCACCACTGAGCGGCGAAGGCGGCCGACGGGTTGTAGGGGATAAACTGGGCCGGTTGGAGCTGGGGGGGTGCGGAGGTGGCAGGGGGCTGGCACAGGGAGGTCTTGCGGGCAGCCAGAGAGGTAGCGCTGGTGGGGTTCGCAGGGAGGAGGGCCGATCCCCCGATGCTGCTGGGACAGAGCTGACTGGGAGCTGAGTACTTCCTGCACAGACTGGCAGACTGGGTGACCTGCAGGGGGTGGGGTTTCAGACAGGTTTAAATAATAACAAACTTTTTTCTTTTTTCTGTTCTCTTAACTCTTTTTTCTGTTCTCTTCATCGCCAGATGTTATTGCTGAATAACTCAAGTTATTTACACTCTAAAGTGAATTCTGAAACCATAGAAAAATAAAACTGTCTCACTCAGTAAGTGATAATAATTTATATATGGTGTTAGTTTATTTATAGCTAATGC